GCAGTAGTAGAAAGCACTAGTAGTAGAAAGGGTGGAGTCGTCGTCGTAGTAGTGGTAGCAGTAGTGCTAGTAGTAGTAGCAGTAGTAGTAGCAGTAGTAGTAGTAGTAGTAGTAGTAGTAGCAGCCGCAGCAGCAGCAGCAGCAGTGGTTGTGGTGGTTGTGGTGGTGGTGGTAGTGGTAGTAGTAGTAGTGGTGGTGGTAGTGGTAGTGATAGTGGTAGTAGTAGCAGTAGCAGTAGCAGTAGCAGCAGCGGCAGCGGCAGCGGCAGCAGCAGCAGCAGCAGCAGCCCACGGCCAGCACCACCAGCATCACCGCACCACCCGCACCACCGGCACCACACAGTACCACCAGCACACTAGTAACTAGTAGTAGCATTGGCACTGTGTTGTTACTACTGCTTCTGTGACGACCACGCGGAGGGCACACACGACGACGACGACTACTTCTGCTTTGCTGCGAATCCTGCAATTGGTCCTAGCCCGCTCCCTTTACTACTTCTACGCTTGTCCTGCTGCTCGACTGTGGCATGTACCACCACAGTTGTCCAACTGCTGCCCTGCTGCTGCTTCTCTCAGATAGAAGTGTAAAGACGGCAATGTGAGGGCACGGTGTTCCTGCTTTGATGAAGTTGTGGGTAGTTCGCATCAACACACTGGCCGAGGTGTTGCAGTGCAGGAGCACTGCCTCTGTGACATGCGTCACTTCCTGGAGCAGGGTGCTGACCCAAACTGCCGCGATGCCTCAGGCAAAACACCCCTGATGCTGGCGGCAGAGGCTGGACAGCTGGAAAGCTGCCTCTTGCTTCTGGAGTCCCGGGCAGATCTGTATGCCAGGGTCGGTGACGATCAGCTGGGTGGCACCGTCCTCCGCTATGCGCAGCGGGGCCCAAATATGGCATTCCTGTCTGCTCTCATGGGCCAGAGGGCGAACCCGAAGGATCTGGCACCGGCTTTGAGCCACGCCGCCGCCAAAAAGCTCCTAAAGCAGTACCAGCCGCAGATGCACGAAGAGACCCCCGAGTTGTCGTCGCAGCCTGCACCGCCGCCGCTTCTGCCGCCCTCGAATCCGCAGAAAACCATGTGGCCGAGGGCCGAGAAAAGTGGCCTCTTGGCTGTGAGCCATTGCTGTCTTTGTTTCATATGCCTTGCCATGTAGCGGAGATATACTATCATCATCGCCGTGTGTATGATCATTTTTGCCAAAACAATGCAAGGGTTACCCTAAACCCTGAACCCTAAACCCTAAACCCAATGTGTGGTTGCTGCCAAACATCGCCAGTTTTCATGATCAGCTTCCGGCAGGGGATCCGGTGGCTGTGTGGCACTCTTTTTGCTACTATAGATGTTATTGTTATTCGCGGTATTAATATTATTATGATTGGTTTCATTCGTATCTTGAGTAATACTAGTATTACTAGTGTTGTTCGCATTGTTAGTGTTATCAGCTTTCTTCATAATTTTGTTTTACTAGTACTGTTATATATTACAGTGAGAAGGTGTGTTGGACAGTTTGCACAGAGGAACAGGTATCCTGAAACCGACCCCTAAACCCGGAAACCCTAACTGTACCCCTTCAAGAAAAACTTCAAAAGACCCCCTAAACTCTAAACCCTAAACCCTAAACCCTAAGCCCTAAACCCTAGGAAAATACACCGTCATCGTCAGCTCCTGCGCCGTGCGCGCCGAGCCGAGCAAGGAGGCCAAAGCAGTCGGAGCGCGGAGCCGAGGTGCCCAAACATATTATTTCGGTTTTAGGGTTTAGGGTCTAGGGTTTAGGGTTTTAGGGTTTAGGGTTTAGGGATTTGGGGTTTTTGGGATTTTGGGGTTTGGGGGTTTCAGGGTTGGAGGGATTTTAGGGGTTTAGGAGTCTGAGGGTTGGTCTAGGGCTCAGGGTCTTGATTTTAGGGTGTGAGGTCTCGGTACAAATCGCAGAAGGGCAGCAGGAAAGGCAATTTGATCGAGAGATTGAAAACACAACTGTACTCATCATCATCCTTCATCATCAGCATCATCATCCTTCATCATCATTATCATCATCTTCATCAGGTTTTGGAGGCCGAGGGGGTGTCGAGCTACCTGGGCTTTCCATCCCCAAGCTCTCTTCCAGTAATCATGGGAACTCTCAGGCCGCAACTGGCTCCTTTGCGGGGTAAACCCACAGACCTGAATTCGCAAACATGGTCGGCAATGAGGCCAAAGCCGCCAAGTCCCATTTCTGAACTTATCCCCACGCCCTCGACTCAAACGACCAACCCCAAATCCAAAAATCTTGCTGTCACCTCAGGTAAAGAAGTTAAAGTTAAAACGCCTATCGAAGTTTTCACCCTGACCTACCTCAAGTCTTCGGCTAAAGCTCCTGCACCCTAACAGGCAGCGTGGTGGAGCTCTACGAGTTCGACCCCAGCCGCCAGTGGCGCCGTGTCTATGCGGATGGGGAGGCGGCGGGGGGCTGGATGCTACTTGAGCACGAGGAGAGTCTTGGCTGGAGGATGTATGCTTAAGGCTTTAGGGTTTAGGGTTTTGGGCGGGCTTTGCATTGCTTTATTTGCGGGTCATGAGCTCAGGTTTATGGTCAGGGATCAGGCGCTCGGCTAGAGTTTAGGGAAGTTTAGGGTATGGCAATTGGGGCTTCGGGTCTAGGAAGAATTGAACGGGCTTCTGTAGCCACTGTCTCTTGTCGTGCTTGTTTCTTATTTATCCCTTTCGGTCGCTTGCTTACTAGCCTTCTGTATGTAGATGATTCTGGTTGTGTAGAGATTTGTATTGGCCTTGTCCCTATGTACAACATATCCGAAATACCACCAACCTAGACCATAAATCCTCAGCACAACCCCCAAATTCCACAGCTGAAGGCAAGCAGTTTGAAAAGGCCCCTACACACCCGAGTCCAACAGATTAAAACCTCAAGCTCCAAACCCGAAGAGGGTTTAGGGTTTAGGGTTTAGGGTTTAGGGTTTAGGGTTTAGGACGAGATCCTTCTGCAGCCTAGGTTTGGCCCCCTCCTGGAGCCTTTGACGACAGAGTCGCAAGCGAAGTGCCCACAAGAGGTCTACTGAAAATGGCCGCGCATCTGCGTCTTTCGAGTTTACCTGCCTCCAGCTCAAAATTTGCAACACTATACCGAAGCCCTAAACCACATACCTACAGACAAGAAAAGTCCATCGCCCACTGTCCTGGTCACCTCTAAACCCCCTCTAAACCCCCTTAAACGCCCTCTAAACCGCCTCGAACCCCCCCTAAACTCTAAACCCTAAACCCTAAACCCCCCTTTAAACCCCTCTAAACCCGAAATCGGTTCTGTGAGCCTTTGGTCGGTGCTGGCTCTTGTTTCTGATGGGTCGGGATGAGGGTCGTGGGTTTTGGTGTTTAGGGTTTTAGGGTTTTAGGGTTTAGGGTTCAGGGTTTTAGGGTTTAGGGTTTAGGGTTTAGGGTTTAGGGTTTTAGGGTTTAGGGCTTAGAATTTAGGGTTTAGGGTTTCAGGGTTTTAGGGCTTTAGCGTTTAGGGTTCAGGGTTTTAGGGTTTAGGGTTTAGGGTTTTAGGGTTTAGGGTTTTAGGGGTTAAGGGTT